TCCTTCTGATATCCTTTAAATTTCCCGCAATTTGCCACACGGGGCGGGGCTAAAGCCAACTTCATGTTGGATACATAACCTTATGGGTGAGAGGGGTGGTGGGACGGGGCAACTAGCGGTCCATGATTATATAGTCAAAGGACACGGTAACGTTTAATGACGCAGTAAGAAGCGACGTGATGTACGCACGATAGTTAATCGACAATAGAGAAAAATTCATTGTTTAGCGTAACACGTATTTCTGAGGAAGAGTATCGCTACGATTTTTCGAATCCTGGTGTTTCTGGTCACTGCAAATATAAGAGGAGGCGGAAGAAGGAGGCAATTAATAATACATTTTACCGACATATAAACGACAGAGGTAAGACAACTTGAAAAGTAATTACACTTGAGAGATAAAGGATATTTAAGAGATAATTTCAAAGTCGTACAAGCTGAGATAATAATTCTGTTCCATCCTATTATCGGACAATAAATTATAATTCTGTATCTCATTTTTATATAGGTGAATATTTGTTTATTAACGGTCTCATAATGTCAAAAAGGAAAAGAGGACCTTATAAAAGATATCTGCTAGACGATTCTAACGAAATTCCTGTAATAACAAAACGTTCTCGTCTAACAGCAAAAAAATGGAAAATAGTTAAACAGGTTAATTCTTATATTTTTCTTTTATAAAGAACTAATATGTAGATATTAAGATTAATAAATAAGACTAATATCAAGATTAATTTTTAAATTAGTAATAATATTAATAAATCACATTAACTATTAGCTGTAGACATCAGATATTACTTATATATTTATTACTTATTTATATTACTTTATATTAACTATACTTATTACTTTTATATATATATATATTTATTTTTTTATTACTTATATATATTATATTGATTAGATATTATGATTTATATATTATATAGATTACTTATATATATATATATATATATAAATAAATATATATACATATATATATACATATATACACAATATATATACATATACATACATATATTTATAGATGGAAAAGTTATGATGAATAGATTGATTCATATGAACAAAATGATATGACCATTGAAGGACATTCTTTCCATGAATCTTTGAAAAATGAAAATTTGAGTGAATATAGATCGGAAGAGCACACGT